TTTCAGGGTTCAACATGTGCCTTCTGTGAAGCAATTTTACGGGAGTGCGGTTTCAAAACAGGACTTTTCACTTCTCCTCATTTGATCGATGTTAGAGAAAGATATCGCCTTGATGGGTATGCATTCTTGTTACTTTATTTTCCCTACTTTTGTATATTAGAGCATCTTCAGTGTCAGTGCTACTTTTGTATTTTGTATGTTAAAATGGGATTTGTTTCATGTGGAATCTGGCTGCACTGTGTATCCAGGAGGCTTTCAATCTTTTCCTTTTCATTGACTTCAATACTTTCTCGCCGACCATGTAGATGAATTTAAGTAACCGATCAAATTTTCCACCCTCATTTCACTTTTCAGAAAGGAGTAAAAGCCAAAGTTTTGCATGTTCCTATCCCCAGTTTTCCTTTCATCTACTAACTGCACCCAATGAGGTTTTTGTAAAACAGAAACAACAGATAGGGAATAACTTAATACCCTGTTGATTTTAACATGCTTCTTAGTATGTCTTGAAGCACACAAGGGGTCCCCACTCAAATTTCAAGCTGAACTTCATTGCTGTTAATAGGTTTTCTTATGTGATTGATGTCTTTCCTTTACTTGATTGTCCTTAAGTTATTAATGAAGATTCTCATTCCATTGCACCTTATTGCTTAGGATGGACATATGCCAGGAAAAATTTCTGCAATACTTTTGGGATTGTTGGAATCAGCTCAAGGTATTCTTTCATTTAGTCTCTGTGCTGGATGACAAGATGCCCCTATCTAAGTATGCTAGTGGATCTTCCGAGTTTACCTTGACTACATCTCAGTTGGTTCTCTTTTTCATGTTTATGTAGTCTTAAGTAATTTTCTGGTTTAAATTGAAGTTCTTTTTCATTTATGATTCAGCCTTGCAGAGGGATTACACTAGTTACAGCAAATTGGAACTAATCATGTTACCGCTGGAGATATTTAAATCTTTTAAATTTATTGGTTCACTTTTTAGTTGGAATCCTTCATTTGCTTGACATCTCTCGACTTCATCATTCTTTGATATATACTGTCCGATATAAGTATAAATGATTTACTTTAAGCTCATGATAGCAAATTCTTTTTAGTTTGTTTTAATGGTTTGTATTGGATGAGAGTAAAATAAAATTTGGCACATCATCTGAAACTTTTTACTGTCAGTTGAAGTAGTCTGCATTCAGTAAAATCTATGATGGTGGATTTTTACTGATTCCAGAAATGTTAATTTGCAGGCAAACGTCTCTGAAGACTTGCCTATGCCTCCTCTCTTCCAGTTCCTTACCGTGTTGGCTTTTAAAATTTTTGTGAGCGAGAAGGTGGAGATCTATTCCCTCTATTTTGCTTGATCTGGAAATGACACACTGCGTGATTTGAAGTTTCATAGCTGTGGTTTGATTTGGGTTCTGCTGTTTATCTTCTCTTTTCTAAGATGTGCTTGGAAGTTGTTTACTATTTGAGTCTGGTGGCATTACCATATTCTCATACCCGAAGTTGCTTTCAAAAACTCATGGCCATAGGAAAACCAGCCCTTTCAAAAAAAATAAAAAAGGCCAAATACCTATACGGCCCCTTAAACTTGGTTCCAGTTTTCATTTTGATACTTTAACTAAGGCTATTACCTATTAAACACTTAAACCTTATCTTACTTATACCTAAACACATTTTTTTAAACCCTAAACAGACTTCAACGCGTGAAGCTACTTGCCATTGACCTAACAAATGACACCAATAAGAAAAACACAAGTTAGCAGAGAAAAAGAAAAGTAAAAAATCTAGAAAGAAAAAAAGAGAAAGAGAAATGGGTTTCATTCCATCCGTTTAAGCGCGAGTATTGGGGAGAGTCTTCTATCGAATCTGATCTCTGTCAAGCTCTGAAGCAGATTGACGATGTATGAGGTTGGTTCCATTGGCTACAAAATAAATATCTGAAGACAAAAAATAAATTGAAGTTCATGGAAAATTTGCAGAGCTTCACCAATTTTCTTTGATCCAATTTCTGATCAATTTTAATTATCTCATCAATTCAACCTCCCGAGTCAACGTGTTATGTCTCTGAGTTTTTAAATCTTTTTCTCTCCGTTTCATGTAAGGAGGGAAGGGGAAGGGTGGAGAGTGGTGTGAGGAAAAAGAAGAATGAAGGAGAATGGTGGTACTAATGGTGGAGGAGCGGCAGTAATGGAGTTAATAAGGTGGTGATACGATTGCTTTAGAAAAAAGGGTTTTAATTTAAATAAAAAAGAAGGAAAAATATAATTTCAGATCCATTCACGCGCTTAAGA